GGTCCTCTGCGGGGGCGCGGGGAGGGGCACGCACCACAAAGGTGTCGTAGGAGAACTTGTGTCGGTGCAGCAGGTGCTGCAGGAAGTTGGCGCTCTTGTAGCTGGGGTCCCCCCAGGGCATCGCCGAGCAGATGGGGCACACCTGCAACACGGGGTGCGGGCTGAAGCAGCGCTCCGCTGCTCGGGGGAGCCGGCCCCTCCCCCGCCACGTCCCCCGGGCCGGCGGCTCACCACGCGGTTGGGGTCGCTGCGGTGGTTGTCCACACAGTGCTTGAGCAGCTCCTGCTGGTCCAGGTTGCGGGCGCCACAGTAGGGGCAGGTGAAGGTGGACCTGTTGGGGACGGCGCTGCGGCGGTGGCGGGAGGTGAGTGGGGGCCTGCAGTGCCCCCACCTGCGGCGTGGCCCGCCCCGGGGGCACCCGGCTGGGCCTCCCCCTGCACTCTGGGTCCCATCCCTTCCCCCCACGCTCCCCTGCTGGGAGGTGACTGGCGGGCCTGTGCGGGCCCTCCTTGGGGTCCCCTTCCTGCAGGGCAGCGAGGCTGTCCGCAGAGGGGGACACAACAGCCTCTCCCACCTCCTCCAGGGAGAGCAACATGGGCCAGGAGCTGCCTCTACAAGGAACAGGGGCTCTGAGCACTGGAGTGGGGTGGCCTACCTGGGGATGGGCTGAGACGTGGGCACCACGGGGACGAACTTGGGACAGTTGGCCATTTGCTCCTGGACCTTCATGCAGGAGGAAACGTGCACCCTCATCTTGGCTAATGTCACCTAGGAAGACAGAGGCCGAGTAGGCGTCGGGGTCAGGCTCCAGAGGATGAGAGGGCCACTAGGCAGCAGGGCCCGTCCCTGCACCTGACGTTCACGGCCCCGCAGTGCTGCGTAAGCAGGGGGGAAGCTTCACTCAGGGGCCTCACGGCCCTGCCAGAAAAGGGGCACCAAGGGAAGGAGACACAGACTCCGGACACCCATTGGCAGGTGCGTCTGGCCACCAGCTGCTGGACAGGAGCACACCTCAGCTGGGGTCGCTCGGGGGCTGCAGAGGGCAGGGGCAGTCCTTGAGGAAACCAGAAGAGATGTATCGGGGCAGAGGGGACAGCCCTCATTACAGAAACTGAGGGACAGCATTCTTGTAGACGGCCAAGCATCTACCTGATAGAAGTTCTTACCAAAACGTACCAAACCACAGCACAACCTTCTCCTCAGCCCGGCCCGGGGCACACGCTCTGGCCGAGGGGCAGGGAAAGGGGCCAGGTGTGCGGACCTCGGTGTGGCTCAAGTGAACGACCCAAGGAAAAAGACAGATGCAGCCATCCCTCCCTGGGGAGCAGATGCTACCAATCCTGCTGTCAACAATGCCAACAGGCTGGGAGTAAATGTCTCACAAATAGGAAACGCGTTCACAGGACCAAGGAAGCAGCGAGGAGGGTGTGGGCGAGGGGTAAGGTCCCCGGGGCCAAGATCCCCTCCAGGTGTCCGCTCAAGGGCTGCCTGGCTCCCCGCTCTGCTCGGGCCTGCCCCACTGGCCCACGAGTATGGACAGACCCGAGCACGCTGTGGCAGAGCAGCCCGCTGCATGTGGGAAGCCGAGAATGGGCCTGGCCTGCTCTCTCTCGGGAAAAAGCCTGCGTGCCAGGGAAGGAGGCCAGCAGCCTCACTGCAGAACTCAAGTAGCTCCAGGATGTCCTGACTCTGACCCTGACCTGTAGGACAAAGCAACCAGCAGTCGCCTTCTATTGTGATGTTTCTATCAAAATGCAAAGTCAAAATCCGCTCCTGGGGCTGGGCCACTGTGAGGGGCTCCAGGCAGGGTGGAGAGACAGGCCAGGTGGGTGGTGGCGGTCAGCCTTGGAAAGGCACCCCCCTCCATTCTGCCTGGGGCCTCAACCCCCGTCGGCAGGGCTGAGGCTCAGTTCCCATGTCCCCAAATTAGCCCCACAACAGCGACCACACAACAACATAAGACCCAGAGCCCAGGGCAGGCGGCAGGGGTGGGGGTGATGTGGGGGGCTGTGGGGGGTGTGGGAAGGCCCCCAGGGAAGTGAGTGGTGCTGTGGGGGAGGGGCAGAGCACAGGTTCCTCTCTGCCGGAGAGGAGAGGGGGGAGCGGAAGCAGGCCCTGCAGCTGCAGACCACAGCCCCGCCCGCCTGGCTGGCCTGCCCAGCCCCAGGAGGACCCCGGGGGTGGGTACCTTCTTGTTGCAGCCCCTGCAGGGCGCCTTGTAGGACGAGAGCTGCTTCTCCACATGGGCGGCCTTGTCCACCTTCTTGGGGTCGAAGGGCAGGCGGCACAGCGGGCAGAGGGGGGACGGTACCTGGAGGCAGGGCTGGAGGCACTCCCCGCAGAACCTGCAGGGGGAGCAGGCATGGGCCTGAGGGCTGCTGGCTGCTTTGAGCCTCACAGGTCAGCCCCCCTCTGTGTCGGCGGCACGTTTCTGGAGACCATCATTCTGTTCCTCTGGCTAAACGACGACCCCAGGTCCCCTCCCAGCCATGGGTTTCTGGGGCCCGCTGCCGTATCCACGAGGCTGGTGGGGCTGTGGCTGGGGTTCTCCGGGAGCTGTGCTGGCCCCGCGGCCCTGGGCCCAGCCCGAGGCTCAGCCTGCCCGTCTCACGGCCGTGTGGTGATGCCAGCGCCCCAGGTGCTCTGGGGACACAGGCAGCACAGGGGGGCTCTAAAAACCCTCCACCCACAAAGCGTTGGAGAGTAAGATCATCAACAATGCTGGGAGAGGAAACCACAGGGCTCCAGGGGCCTGAGACTCATTGGACGGGGCGGGGCCAAAGCTGTCCAGCCTCGTGACAGTGCCGGGGCAGAGGCGTGGTGACGGAAGGGGCCTTGCTTGGGCTCCTGGCTGCTGAGCAGGGACACTCATGGCCCCAGCACACACTCGGGCGCCCGAGGCTCTTGGCGCTGTCCCTGGAGATGCCGCATCAAGAAGCCAGCCAGTGGATACAGATGTGCTTGGGCCGCAGCAGCAAGCCCTTCTCACTCCGAGTCCCCCCCGTGCCACAGAGAAACTAGCAGCGTTCAGTCCGCGGGGACACTGGGCTGGAGAGCACCCAGCAGGCAGCAAGAGGGAGCTCGATCCCAGGACTCCCTTGGTCCAGCTTCTTAAGAAATGTTGTGGGGGCCGCTCAGCTATGACCCCGACCTAGAATCTGCAGACGCTGAGACGGAGCCCCAGGGCCCCAGACGAGTGGGCACTAGGCCCCAGGATGAGGACTAAGCCCCCACCCGCAAGAAAGGGAGCCCCTTCAAAGACTGCAAAGATCGGGATGTGCACGACTGTGCTGTCATCTGTGTGCACCAAGCGGGGGGCTGTGAGGGCCATGGGACGTGAGGGTGTTCCCAAGTATACACGCTCAGCTCAGCGGCCGGCATTCTGCCACCAGGAGAGCTTCACCTCCTTCCCAGGAGAAGGCAGTGGGGGTGATCTGGAGTCCCTCCTGCTGCCCACGCCTGGGCCTTCCTCCTACATGCTGGCTTCCAGCGCAGCCCCCACCTGGCTCGGCACCATTTGCAGGAACATGTGCACAGAAGGCCCGGCTTGGCCTGAGGCCCATCAGAAGATGCAGCATTCCCGGCAGCCTCCTTCCCCCACCCATCGCCACACCTGGTGGGCACGTGACAGAGGCGTCCAGGCACCACCCCACGGCACTCTGGGGAGTGCCCCAGCCTGCCTCTCGCGGCTCCAAGGGTCCGACTAGCCTAAGGGCCGATGCAGGTCTCTCCCTCCGCCTGCCACAGGAGGAGAGCTTGCTACTGTCACGGAGGGTGTGCATGGCGGTGCCACCACAAGAGCCACGGGGCAGACACAAGCCACGTCATCCATGGGGAACGGACACACGGATGTGGCCGAGCCCCAGGATGGGTGAGTCTTGGGGACGCCAAGCTCAGGACGTGTGTTGTGTGACCCCGTTGACATGTCAGAGCAGACCCGTGGTTGCTGCGGCGGGGACGCCGGCTCAACAGCACGCACTCCGGGAACCACTGACGTGCACACTTCAGACGAGGGCGTCCTCCTTCAGCAACGCTGTAAGACGCACACGCATAAGGATGGCCCCAGGAGCACTCGGGTCGAGTCACCACGTTGTCAGGGCAGGCCTCAGGGCCACGTCTCCGACGACAGATGCACAGGTCGGGGTGAAGGGCACCTCTTTGCCAGCAGGAGGGGGCCGGGGAGCTTGGGGTCTTGAGAAGGCATGTGTGGACCCCTGCCTGCACCCGGGCCCGCCCGCCGGCCCGCAGCTCTGCTGGTCCATGTGTCGTGGCGCCTGAGGGGCTGCGGGCACCATCGGCTGGCAGCCAAGTCTCCACGCTATGAGCGCGGTGCTCGGAGCCGCCCCAGACAAGCCGTGCCCGCCTCTTCCAAGGAGGCTCTGCCAGCACGAGCGGACAGAGCCAGCTGAGGGGTCTGCTGTCTGCCCCCAGACCTGACGGCCACCTCACGGGCTCCAGCGCCCCGTCTCACTCCTGCCCGGGCCTCTCGCACACACCACTGTGCCAGCGCCGGCCAACGGTGCAGGGGACCCACGAAGGCCAGGACCTGTCCTCAGGGGCAGAGCCCGACTTCCAAAGCCTTACATGGATGATCTCAATCGCCCACATCCTGGTCCGCCCACACGCAGCTGGAGGTGCGCTCTCCATGCCAAGCAGGGAGTGACAGACCCCGCCCAGAGAAGCCCGCTCATGGGTCTGGGTGCAGGTGGGCAGGGGGCTGTCAAGGCTCAGCGGTCCCCAGGGTCTCCAGGGTCACTGCTGCAAGGGCGCTCGCCAGGGGGGCGAGGGGGGAGAGGCGGGGCCTCAGAGGCCAGCCCCGCTGGACTGCCCGAGCTCAAGCTCTGGCTTTGCCGCGACCCCTGGGAACTCAGCCTCTTGTACAAAATAGCGAGAGCACCTGCCCGATGGGGCCACGGCACGCCGAGCGCGCAGGACACACCTGTCCTCATCATTCCCTACGTTCCCCCCTAAACGTGAGCGCTCTTCTCTACGATCTCTGCTCATTGACTGCATGTGGGGACGTGGAGGTGGAGGGACCGGTGGGACAGCGGTGCTGAGAGAGCATGAGAGGAGAACGGAGGCCAGGGGAGCCTGCCCCTTCCCAGGCCCTCAGGGGAGGGCCCATCAGAGGGTCATCCATAGCCATGCAGCTTCTGCTTCCAGATGGGACTTACTGCCCAGGATGTCCCCCGAATATGAGAAGTAACCGGCTCCCTCTGGGGCTCCTGGGGAGCTCTTGGGAGCTCTTCCACAAGCCCCACGGAGGGCCTCCTGACCGAAACCCACCCCGACCTCTCCTCTTCTGTCTGGTGCTGCCCACGCACAGCCGCTCAGCACCAGAAACTCTGTTTTGTGGAGGCAAACTGTTTACGGTTAGGTGGCCGTGCGGGACAAATACCTAGACCACCACCAGGTTTTCGACGGAAAAGCGTGAGCCTTTAAGTCCTCTGTGCTTGTTCGTGCATGTGCCTTCATGACACCAGACCAGAAACTTGGGAAGAGTAAGAAACAGAGGCAGAGAGAGAGCTAGGGAGGAGGGCTTCTAAGGAGGACGCTCTGGAAGAGCTTCTCGCGGGACCAGCCTCAGAAACAGGAGAGAGATCAGATTCTGCCAAGAAAAACATGGGGTGGGGGAAGGGTTTAGAGGACATGATGCTTTCGTAATTCTGTGCAGAGCTGTGTTCTGAAGACCACATTTTAAGAAAAGACTTTTCTGAGGAAAAAAAAAAAGACTTATCTGGAAAAAAAAAATCTGTACACTGATTTGTACAGACCCGGAGACTGGAAATGCTGTGGCCCTGGGATGAGTAACTGTTGGTGCCAAGGGGAGACCATCCGAAAACCAGGAAAGGCTTTCTAAAGTTGGGTCAAGCCTTACAGTTCTCAGCGACGGACTGAAAACTGCAGAGCACACCTGAAAACACCCACCAGCATATGCTTCCAAGAAAGGAGTCTTGTTCAGAGGCTGCCCCTGGCAGGATGTCACCAGCAGTGTGACAGTGAAGCACGGCCCCTCCCGACAAGTTGGCTATCCGCTTGTGCTGCCCCACACGGGAGGAGGAGGAAAGCGGAGGCTTTTGGATGCTGACACTGTCCCTGGGTGACGAGAAGGCACACACCTACCCAGCTCCCCCTTTCTATCAGGAGCCTCCTAAGTCAGCTGCCTGTTAGCAAAATATTCCAGGGGCACCCACCTGCCTGGATGCACCTCTGCCCAACCCCTGGGAGTGAAAGCCCCACCGCCTCAGTAGCCCTGCTTGCTGGCAACTGAGCCCTCCTGACCCCGCTTCCCACACTGCTGATTTCACTCAAGAGCTGTGCTGTTCAGCCAGGAGCCAGTCGGAGAGTGGACACTGAACTCGGCGCCCTTCCAACCAGGCTGGCAGCTCGCAGAAGACTTGAGTGCAGCTCTCGGCTGGGAGGAGAGCCACATCCTCAGGTTTCTGTTGCTGAAACACCCCTGCAGGACCCTCCTGGAGGCTCCAGTGCAGCTGGAAACCCTAGCAGGGTGCTTGGTGTCTGGTCCCCAGGGCCAGCCCGCCTGCTCAATGATGGATATGACCCAAGATCTCCATCAAAACAAAACAGCACCAGACTCCAAACAAGTCCCTCTCCTAACTTTAGGCAACTCCTCTCCTCTGCCGTTAAGACAAGCAGACAGCGGGTCCGAAAAAGAATTGATAAGAAGAGCCACAAGGCATTTATTTACAAATGCCCACCCCGGTCTCCAGGGGACCGAATCGAAGGCGACTGGCGCAGAGGTCGCCTGCTGCCCTCTGAGTACCCGGGTAGGCCCGCCGAAGCCGTAAGCAGACCCCAGGGGAGTCGGGACCGGACAGGGCTGCAGGTCGCCCGATGCGCCGACAGGGTGCTCGGCTCGCCGGGGACTGGCGGGCAGGAGGCTGAGCTGAGGCGGAGGAACGCGCCCAGAGGACAGGGACGGCCTGCGCAGGGAGCCCTGCGCCCCCGCCCGAGTCCTCCGCGCGCCTGGCTCCGGGGCTGCGCCGGGCGGCCGCGAGCCTCGGGCCCCTCCCGGGGCGGGCACGGACCCCTCCCCGCAGCGACGTCCCGGCCCCGCGGCCTCCCGCAGGCCGGCGCACTCACGTGTGGCCGCAGCTGCCGATGGCCACAGGCCGGTGGTACACCTCCAGGCAGATCGGGCAGCTGTACTGCGCCTCCAGGCCGCTGTCGCCGCCCGCCGGCCCGCCCGGCGGCTGCCGCTGCTGAGCCGAAG